AAAGCATATCATGGTCTGTTTGACTCTAAATGGGACCATCAGTTACTAAATGAACATCATGCTGTATGGAAGAAGACTGAAACTAGAGACTGAGATCATAAACTCATTAGAGAAGTAAGGTCATTTCTCCACAAGACTCAGTGCTTATTCTTTCAGATGTTTGTTGCAGCCCATGGAGCTGCCCCCTGCTGGCCATTACGTAGAATGCATGTTTAAAACTCTTCTGCATTGGCTTCTCTTCACAGACCTTGAATCTTTGTCCAGTTCTATACTGTCAATGATCCCAAGTTATCTTTATTGCAGCATGTTAGAGCTTTAACTCTCAGTTAGAACCCACACTGGTTGCTATTTTCACTTATATAGTGAGGAAGAAACATAAGGCAAATTGACTCAAGAGACTTAAAATGACTTCCTTGAAAATACATGTGTTTTGTTAAATCTTTAAAAAAAAAAGAGGACCAACTCAAAAGCAGCATGTGACATTTGTATACCATCATTAATATACTCTGTATTTGGGTTTTACTCAGGTGAAATATACAATAGAAGTCACTTTGCAAATGTTTGAAAATCTCTACTGGGGATTGGCTCAGTAATTTAAAACAGAATGTTATCGGTTAAATTCATCATCCTTGCTACAGAAACACACATTCATCCACACACACAGTCCATGTTTCACGCTGATCTGGGGTTGGTTTGTGTGGCCTTTCAGGTCCAGGGCATGTCATTCATCGCTGCTGTGCTCATCCTTAACCTGGAGGAGGCCGAAGCCTTCATCACCTTCGCCAACCTGCTCAATAAACCCTGTCAGATGGCCTTCTTCAGAGTCGACCACGAGCTGGTACACACAGACACACACAAAGACACAAAACTGTTATTCAGGTTACTCAGTTTGTTCACGTTAGAGCCCCGTCCTTCATCTCCTCTCTCTGTCCGTGTCAGATGTTGAAGTATTTTGCAGCCTTTGAGGTTTTCTTTGAGGAGAATCTGCCTCGTCTCTTCAGCCACTTCCAAACCAACAACCTGACCCCCGACCTCTATCTCATCGACTGGTGAGTTATTAGCATTTTTATTGGTATTGGTATTCTATTTTTTTTTTGTGCCAGTTTTGACATAAAATAATGCATTCGTAATGGTCTTAAATTAAAATAAAAACATGCAGTAACCCTGATTTTATTTTTGTTTTCTATATTTCACAATGTTATTATATTCTAGTCTGTAAATGCACTGTGACCTAAACTTACTTACCTTGAATGAGAGTTCCATATTTCAGTGCAAGTAGAAGTATGTTTTTGTGTGTCTCTGTCCAGGATCTTCACTCTGTACAGTAAGTCCCTCCCTCTGGACGTGGCGTGTCGGGTGTGGGACGTCTTCTGCCGGGACGGAGAAGAGAGCTTGTTTCGGACGGGACTGGGTATCCTGCGTCTGTTCGAGGATGTCCTGCTCCAGATGGACTTCATCCACATCGCTCAGTTCCTAACCCGCCTGCCGGAGGACCTGCAGTCACACACACTCTTCACCGCCATGGCCAACACGCACATGATCAGCAGAAACCGCCGCTGGGCTCAGGTCAGCACCACCTTCAGAGTCCAGGGCAAAGTTAGTGTCTCAGATTCTGAATCACAATAAACCAAAAACGTTCTGTATTTTCTCTCAGGTGTTTTCTGCATTGATGAAAGATGGAAATAAAGAGATGGACAAAAACAACAGCCCGGCTTTGAGAAGCTAACACTAGCTAACCTTGACGCTAATGCCAACATTCTTCAAACTTGAACTCAGCGGAGGCTAGCTGTGAAGCTTGAAGCTACGTAGCCCAAAGCTCTCACTCCAGAGGCTTAGCTGCGGAGCTTGAAGTGAGCACGAGCCAGCCAGGAAGATGGGAGCTGACGTCATATGCTGAACGAGCCTCCAACAAACACGAGCTGAGCTGAGATGAGACGAGATGTGCAGGAGAAGGAAGAAGCGGCTCTGGCGTTTCCCGAAATCTGTGTTGGAACCACAACGGGAAACCAGAGCGGTTGGTTACTTTCTAAACTCTAACAGCCATTGTCAGTATTTCACCAGACAGATTACACTTTTGGAGAAGCAACTGGTTGTTTCTGCAGCAGTGTCACTATTGTATTGTACCAGCCTACCAAGACTGGAAAATTCAAACTGACTTTCAGATCACATTATGTGTTATATCCCCAGGCCAGCTGGGAGGGAAAGCCCAAACGGTTTGTGGCAATTCCGCCTCCATGTTGGGTCACAAACACCACTAACACTGAGCATTACGCCCTGTGTAATTCTCAAAGACTCAAATTCTAATTTTCGGTGCTAATGATTTTCTAAAAGTTTCAAAAAAAAAAGAAAAAAAAAAAGACCCCTGTGGTTTAAATATTAATGTAGGGTCCTTGTGGTTTTGACTTCACACTATTATTCATTTGCTGCATTTTTAGCTTGAACCAGGCCTCTGGATCTAAAACTGGTGGGAATCTGTAGTAGCATGGCTGATGCTAATGTCCCTGGTTGCAGCTGAGAAATCAGCCTCCCCTCCTAGCTTATCATATTTTCACATATTGACAAAAGAACAAACAAACAATGGGACGTTTGGAAGCAAAACTCGAGGGGGAAAAAGTGCGCGGACATAATAATTTTGTACATTGTAGTCTATCTAATCATTACGTAGGACTCAAATAATAATACACATCTCATTAGTGATCCTAATTAAGTTCATGCAGACTGTGAGTAATTATTTTGTGGTTTTTATGTTTTATAGGAAATTATTACACGGTCCGCTGGGCTCAAGAAGTCTTTTCTACATGTATTAAATAATTTCAAATGTTATCCTGAATACAAAAATGGGACGGTGAATATCGAAGTTCACCGTCACTGCTGGTGTTTAACCGGGCAGATTATTTTTAGATGTTTTAGAGTAAAAAATAAAACATCTGGTCTGTATCCCGTTTACCACAGTTGGCGACTCGTCAACATGAATTCATGAAATGTGGATTCATATCCAAATGGTCAAAATTCTCCGTACAAATCTTTACTGAGCCAACAGTAAATGAAGATGTGTGTAAATGTAGAAGTGTGGGGCCATCGCAGTTCTCAATCAGTGTTTCAGAGATTTACACTCAGAGCACTTTAGAAATGCAGCACTGAAGCTACATCACGAACACTGGCTGCCAGAGGTGCAAAATACTTTCAAACCAAATTAAGGGGCATTAAGTGACTCGTTGTCCGTCAGTGGTTAGAGGGAATTAAACTAGACTGCCATGGTTTCCAGTTAGGGTAGATTAGATAACACATAGGCATCACGCAGAACGCAGCAACAATACTGGCTTGGCTTTCAGCTTTTACTAGTTTCTGCTTGAGAATGAAGCTTTTTATTCGTGGCATTCTTCTCGCTCGTTTCATCGTCTGTGAAAATGCAAAAAGAAACTTCAGCAACAGACTGAAATTTTAATCACTGAACAGCTCTCGTACACACAGCATTTCCATATGAGGAAATAAAAAGTTTAGTATTATTCCCGTGGGAGATTGCTTATATACTTGATTCTAACACCAGAATATCTTCCTCTAGAACTTCAGATTGTGACTAAAGGTAACTCCTCCCATGTTTCCTCTGTTGTTATGTTCTGTTGACAGTCTGCTGACTTTATTTCACGTCCTAATATGCTGCCCCCACTGTTTATTGGCGTAACTGCAAAGTTAAAGTAATTAGCCAATTTAATTAATTAACTAACAGCTATTTTTAATAATTACACAAACATTCTCTGAATCCAGCTTCTTAAATGTTTTTCTGCTTCTGTTTATATTATATTATTGTAAAATGAATTTTACACTGCTAGATGGATAAAACATATCCAGACATCATGCTGGGTTCACATTCACAGAAAATTGTTCCATTAATTGAGAAAACTGCCAAATCTAATGATAATGAAAATAATAAGTTTTATGCGGTCATTTTATGATGTGGTCATTGAAAGCAACAAAGATCAGCCTGTGTTGAAGCCCCGAGTGATTCCCTGTATGAGTGATCTCAATCTGGATTATAATCCAGTAAACACAGTATGTCGCCCTGTCAGGGCCTGTTGTGGCCTGTTGAAGTGCTTTACGTCACCTCTGTCTCTGTCTCTGTCTCTTTGTGTTTTAACACTCCTTTGATTTACACACACTATAAATGTAACCTTGACCTGCATTTCATCCCTACCTCTTGATAACACACACACACACACACACACAACTAATGATACTTTCCACTTAACCACCAGCAGATGCGCGGGCCTTATAAATGTGGACCAACAGCCGCTTTGTAGTGTTAAAGCAGAAACCTCACTGTAGACAGCGGGCAACCCTGGAGGAAGAGAGAGGAAGAGGAGGTGGTAGAAAGAAACAAGAGACACAAGGGGAGACACAAAGTGCACAGCTCAAAAAAATCAAAAGGATTTTTATGTATGTTTTAAGCTTCACCCCCCCTTATTTAATGAAACTAGTTATCGATGCCATTTCTCTTTCCTGTCCACAATAATTACCCAGTTCTTTTATTATTTTAACACACCATCACACACACTGCAGTAGAAAAGAGCAACAGGACAGCGAGCGATTGCTGTCGCTGTTGTGTAGAGCCATAAAATGGAAACTGACAGTACTTTGAGAAGAGTTTGAGCGAAGACAGCGAGCGTCAGAACGATCGATGAGGAGAGACAGTTAGACCTTTTCCTCCAGGTTGCTTCTTCTCTGGTGATTTTTTCTGCATCGTACCAGTGTTACACACCAAATGACTCCATAAGTAGGGGTTTGTTGTACATGAACCGACCAGAAGCCAGTATGCAAGAGTACAAGATGACAAACTAGTTGGTATCAGTGTTGTTTTAGGGGGAGAAACTCACCATCCAGCTGTATTGTATGTGTTTGTATGAACTGCCAAACGCTGTGTTCATTGTAGAAGTGCTGTAGATTCAGTGGAGGTGATACATAACTAAAAGTCTTATTTTACACTAAATGTAAAATGTAATCTGTCTCAGCCATTTAGGAAGTTAACTGAGGAAGTTGACTAAAGTGTTAATGGAGCACTTAGCAATAAAGATAGAGACTGGGAATTAATTCAGGTTATAAATAAATTTTTCCCAGATGGTCAGTAATTACAGCCATTCCAAGCAGTATGATTTCATACAGTTACAGTCCCATTAACTCTAAAGTCACATAATAAAAACATGCATCACCCAACGCATGTTCTTCAAGTCTACGGACAATTGAACAAGTGGCCTTCACTGGTTCCTCAGTTAGAAACTGCACTTTCTGGTCTATTTCAGATTCTCAAGGCGACTGAGGTTATTGCTGATAGATAATAACTACTACATTCTGCAAACTTTCAAAACACCTCCAGTGGGTCTACACACTTCAGTTCCTTTCATAATGAATCATAGAAGGCAAGATGAAAGAAATTAGCACTTTGTGAACATTTTTTGTTTTTACAGGTACACTAATTACAAGATGCTCAATAATGAACTTGCAGTAATGCAGAGAAACAAATCTTTTTCCATTAAGGTGATTTCTCATTATTACTAACATCAGTTTGCAGGTAATAGTTAATTAACAGGTTTCTTTGCCAGGTTTCCATCTTAAACCTTTTTTTAACCTCAATAACAAAACTCTGGTATCCACAAGCAAATCAGATGGACTAATGTGACCAACGTGTGGTTCATTTTTGTATGAAAACACTTTCTGAATCCCTGTTCTCAACACATCTGTGAGTTTGGGGCAACACAAGTTTACAATGAAGTAAATGAAGAGCGTATTTTATTCTAGAGGGGTAATAACCTTTTATCTCCAAACTGTCAACAGCCTGGTCTGTTACAGCCTGATGGACTGTTGATGGATCCTGAGAAGGTTTCCTAACCTGAAAAATATTCAACCCTTAAATAGAGAATGGAAATGGAAATGGACAAAGTTGGAGTTACATGGTTCTTAGATAGCAATATCTATTTGCCACCCAAAAATCCAATGTTGACAACATTGAATTTAAAAAGGAACTCTGAGTTTTAATAACAAACAATTTCTGATTTTAAATTTTGTCTTTGTTTGGAACATGTGTAAGGTTGTGGGTTAAACAACATGCATGTTTTAATAGCAACAAGGCCTTTTTTTAAATGACAGATATTTTTAAAGTGAGCCTGTAGATTGTTATGGGTTTGTTCCAGTATTAATGTACACAATACACTATTTGAGTATTTGTTGTCACGTCAGTTAATTACAAATATTCGGTTTGTGGAAAACAGTTTTTACCATAATGCTTAACGAAAAACAAAGTAAAATCAAATCAATTTTAATAGTGTTACAAATCATGAGTTAAAGCTGCAGTAGGTAACTTTTATAAAAATAACTTTTTGTCATATTTGCTGAAAACTTTCACTATATCC